GGAAAGCCAGCAGAGCACGCTGGGCGCCTACTCGCCCGTGGACTACATGAGCATCACCAGCTTCCCGCGCCTGCCCGAGGAGGAGCCGGGCGGCGCCGCGGCCGAGAGCTGCCTGCGCGCCAGGAAGGAGGAGGACGCGTTCCTGGGCGAGCAGGACACCGGTGAGCGGAGCGGGGCGCCCGACCCCGGCCCCGGCCCGGCCTCCCAGCAGCATCCCTATCCCCATCCCCATCCCCGCACCGCCGCGTCCAGCCGGCCCCGGCCTTGCTGCCCCCGTGCCCACGCGGCTCTTCCCCCTCTCGCCCGTGAGCCTCCCTCCTCCCGGTCCTCGCCCCGTCTGTCCCCGCTGGCAGCCTCCAGCCAAGGGGCTCTGCCCTGCACCCGCTCACTGCTGCCGCCCCTCGGGCCCTTTCTCGGGTCCCTTCATGCCCTTTGGTTGCTGCTTCCATCCATCCTCCCTGCCTCCCCATTTCTTTCCACCCCCCCAGACACTATGTTGCTGCCTCCTCTGCCCTGCAGCTCGGCTCTTGTCACAGAGACTCCAAATTCCCCAGTCACTGTGAACTGGCTTCCCTCCTCCATCCTGGCCCATCACAGCTCTCCTTTGAGGCGGACTTGGTGCTCCTCCTGATGCTGGGGTAGCCGGGCACCATCACTGATCTTCAGAGGATGCCAGGGGACTTCTGCCTCCTTCCCCACAACCCACACAAGGCTTGAAAGCCTTGGGGCACCTTTCATGCCTGATCACTTCATGGGGCAGGGCCTATCTGGCACCCTGCCCTGTCTGGGCAGGGCCTGTGTGAGTCCCACCCTCTCAGGGGTGGCATTTCTATGGGCACTGGGGATTTCATTCATCAGGAGAAGGAACCACTCAGAGCACAGGCAAACCCCACCTACTGGGGGCAGAGCTTCTACGGCCCTTGCCTGTAAAAGGCAGGTCCTCTCTGACTTGTGGGTGGCCAACCTGCAGCCTGTTTGCCACAAGTGGCATGGGTAGCCTCCATGTGTGGCAAGGGGCAGACCAAGGGGAGGGTAAATAGCACCGTGGCGGATAGGGCAGGGACCAGAAAACAGTGAAGCAGACTGGGCACGGAGCACAGGGCAGGAAACATCAGAGCAGCCAATTGGGCAGAGGAAAAGGATCAGAGTGGTACTCGGGGAGGATGGAGAGAGAATTTTTGGCACATCTTCCAAAAAGGTTGCCTCCCATTGCTGTATCCTCAACCTGTGTTTGAAAGAACTTGGCTAGATACGGCCCAGACACACCCACCCCAGTGATCCCTCCCTTGGTGTAAGGGTGACTCCCTAGGAAAGGTAAAGGATGGCTAGGACTTCTAATGTAGACAAGGCCTAGCCATACCTTGAATTGGGCCAAATCGTGGGGAATGATTTGGGGTCATAGTCAAGATACAGTTATGTTCTATTTGTTTTCCAAATGTATACCAGACCAGATCTGGCTTAGTCTACTTTCTCTTCTCATTGTGTTCTAAACCAAGGCTGCACAACTTCTAAGCAATCTAGGGTCACATGTCACGGGGGCTGCACCAATGTGGGACATGGGTCCTGGGGTGCACCCTGTATGAATGCCCCTACCCTGCTGTACTATGCCTGCATAGGCACTCCCTACACCCCCCTGCCTTTGCAGGTGCCCCTCTCCCCCACTGCTACGCTGCACACTCGCATGGCCTCAGCTTCACCCTCAACTCCCAGCACTGCACTGCACCATCTCATCCCCTGGGGGAGATGCAGAAGGCAGAAGCTGGAGGTGGAAAATGGAGATTCTGATTCCTGTTACAGCCTGATCAATGGGAGGAGCAGCAGCTGGACTGGAGCTGAGGGGCCTCAACAAAACCATTCCTGGGCTGCATGTGGCCCATGGGCCACTAGTTGGACAGCTTGGTTTTGAATATAAGACAGTGAACCTGGGATCTAAGCAGCTGTCAGGAAATGTCCTCTCTCAATTTGGTACTGTCCCTCTTTTTCTCCCATGACTCTCCACAGCCTCCTAAGTTTCCCCTCCATTATTCATCAATCTATGTAGCCTCCCATCTTTCCTTGTCCCTTGCACTGATTGCCTGGAATGCTACAACATTTTTTTTAATTCATAGTTCTCTCTGGTGTTTTGTAAGGCTGAAATCTCATGTCCTCATCTTGATTGTCCTCTGCCTAGTTTCTCATTTCAATTTGTCAGACTCTCCCTGTAATCACAAACAATGAATTGGTTCTGGAAATGCAGTGCCAGCTGCAAAGGCAGATAGATATTTGCAGAAAGTGGTGGATTGTTCCTATCAAATGCTTGGTTTGAATTAAATTAGCTGCTGTTCTTTTTATTTTTGACAAAGCCCTTTACAGCTTTTTAAATTAACAGTTTCTTCCTGGACAATCACAAGTTGTATATTTTTCTTGCAATCCCAAACTAAATTTCTCCATCCTGACTGAGCTCTCTCAACAGCTTAAAAAAAATAAATAAATAAAAATTTTCTAGCAGCAAATTCCTACCTGCAACCTAGTGGTATAGAGACAAGGACCACAGGCCAGGCTCTTCCTTAGTGAATTGCTATTGACTTCAGTGGACTTACGTCAGGAATTAGTTTGGCTGAGTACAGTGGTTCATGTGACCAGCTCTCATTCCCAACAAATGAAGTAGTGAGGTGTTCAATTTGGTGTATCAGGCAGGCTATCTCAAGGCACGGACTGTTATTTAATACTCCTAGTCAGGTCTACTGACTCTGAAGGCTGAAAGCCAGCTTGCAATTGCAGTTTACATTTTTTCATCCCCTTGATTATATTCTAACGATTAAATAAGCTTTCATGACCTATTTTCTTTTAATTCTATTCTAGTTCCCCTTCACTTTCAGGTCTAAGAGAGCAATGCCTCCTTAATTACTTCACTTTGAAATCTATCGGCAAGGAAAGGGGAAAGAATTCCAAACTTCACTTTGAAATCTATCGGCAAGGAAAGGGTTAAGAATTCCAACCAGCCATATCTTTGTGTGCGCAAAATGCAAGTGCAATTTCATGCCTCATTTATGTGTTCAGTTATCCTGACTGTGCATGCCAATTTCCAGTTCTGGTTATTTGCATACACAATTACTGGAGTCCTCTGCAATGCTGCTGTAATTTCATGTAGTCTTATGTTATGCAATTGCATATGTAACATAATATGATGTTTTCTGTATTCTCACATCTATGCCATTGTATTAATTAAAGATCAAGATATATTAATAGCTTGAAAAAATCCACTTGTGCACCAAGTGCTAGCATTGTTTGTCAAATTGAGTGGGATGGGAACCTACATTTTCATTTTCTGCCAAATCTGTGCTTCCGTTCCAAAAAAGTGTAGTTCTAGGGTTTTGAAGAAAAATTTCCAGGGAGGCTCCAGTGCCATTTTTCTGAGTCTTTCACCAGGCAACTCCCATGCTCCTTTTGCTTTCTTTTCTCACCAGACCCGACAAGTTCTGTGTAGGTGGCCCTGGAATCTTGAAGTGCAGGTTCACAGAAGAAACCAGTGTATGTCTGGCTACTAAATGGTGTTTGGTAGCTTGTCTTTCCAGAGAAAGGGATGTTCTCATGGGGAGGACAAAGAGCAGGATGGTGCTCTTGGAGATTTCTACCTCACTATCCTCCTAAGATCTAATGGTCTATAATGCTTTTATTCTCACAAGGGCTCTGAGAAGTTGATTGGGAAAAATGAGGCATACAGATGAGAAATGACTTGCTCCAAGCCGCATAAGTTGAACCTAGGTTTCTCAAACAGTAAGCTAATATTCCAACCCCCTGGACCATCTTTTCTCTCAGGAGTCTCTTTTTGGCTCTGCCATGGATTCCTGTGTGACCTTGGGAAACTCACATGTCCTCTCCATGCTTTTGTTTCCCCATTTATGAAATGGAAATATTAACACATCTTTGGGGCTTTGTGAGGCTGAATTTATTCCCTGTTTTGAAGGCAGTGTAGATATGCTATCATGCTTTCATTGCTTTCATGTTGAGCTTATACTGTATGGTGATTAAGGTGACTGGGTAATACACATGGTTTAAAGCTCTGAGTAGTGCAGGAAGAGCTCAGTACAGTGTGTGCTACAGAGACATGTGCATAGGGGCTTATCTTTTTGGTGTGCTGTTTTATTACCAGTTTCTCTCTAAAAATACCTCTAACCTCCCTTAAAGGCTGCCTTGCTGTGAACCTTCCATAGAAACTTGCCAGTCTTGCTCTTTCATGCTGACTAATGAGAGCTGCCAGAGCCCCCACCAGCTTCTGAAATAGCCCTTCTACTTCTCCCTTCCTGACAGTGTTTAGATCCCTCCAACTGCAAGGCCATCCTGTCAGATGCCTCTAGCTGCCTAATCCTCTGCCCTGTTCCAGCATGTCTACTACTTGGTGGTCAGACTTTGCCTGGGACCCCAAGAACCATCTGTCCCATGCTGATGAAACTGTTGTGAGAGCCAATATAGGAGGAGTTCTTGCAGGGATGGTAGGGAGTGCGTGAGTGGGCAGAGGAGAAGAGCTGAAGCAGATGTGCTGGGATTTTGCTTGCAAAGGAATTGGGCATATGATGGAAGAATGGGCAGGTCACCAAGGACGCATACCAGGAAATAGTCAGAACCTGCAGGAACAAAATCAGGAAGGCAAAGATAAAGAATGAGCTGTACCTGGCAAAGGAAATTAAGAACAACAAGAAGAGGCTCTATAAGTATGTTGGCCATAAAAGTAGGACCAAGAAAGCTGTGGGTTCCCTGTTAACAAGCCTGGGGCAACTCTTAAGAGAAGATGCAAAGAAGGCAGAGCTATTCAGTAGCTACTTTGCCTCAGATTTCACAAAAAAATTAAGCTGCAGCCAGACACCTAATATGGATTATTTGGATACAGAAGGGGGCAGGCTGAGGGATGAGATCGCAAAAGAGATGGTCAGAGAGCTTTTGGTGGGTCTGAATGAATTCAAGTCAGCAAGGCCAGAAGAACTTCATGCCAGGATCTTGAAGGAACTGGCAGAGGAGATCTCAGAGCCCTTGGCAATGATCTTCAAGAAGTTGTGGGAGACAGGCCAGGTACCGAAGGACTAGAAAAGGGCCAACATAGCATCCCTCTTTAAAAAAAGGAGAAATAGGGGAACTACAGATTAGTTAGCCTTACCTCAATACCTGGGAAGTTATTAGAGCATAT